TCAGGTTTTTTTTAAACTATTGCTCCTGGAAGTTTCTAGCAAGATTTTTTAGAATAGGCACATGTCAAATTGGTTAATTCTAATCTGCAGAATAATAATTACATTGCAATCCTGGCACCATATAATTTGGAAACAATAACTGTATTGTCAGTGGAAGATTCTACCTTTTGAACCAATATGCATTATGTGTAATTGCTGATTTAATGTTTATAGTGACTGCATTTAAAATCTGAAATGTATTTTAAGTATATTCATTAAATATGGAATTCTATTCCTAGTTGTATACAAATTAAGAGTTTGCGAGTATTGTTGTCAACTGGATTTAGATCCACAGCAGTACTAAACATTTTTTTCTTTTGAGACAAGGAAAAGTCAAAACTAATTAAGTACAGTATTCTAATGTGGGGCTACACTTTAAAATCACTTGGGGTCATCTGGGCGTACTGTAATCTGTAACAGAATAAGGCACATAAATTGAAGAGAAAGAGAGACAAGCTAGAGGAAATATTTTACTAATACAGGGTAACTGAAAACTAAATGTGAGCTTTGATTCTCACTATGAATCATTAGGACACATCACTGTTTTACTGTATTCGATCATTTATAAACACGCCCTAGCTTACATTGGGCAAGTAATTATATGTGCTATAAATATAATTAGTAAGTGTATATTAATTTATAATGGAGTTATCAGTGATTTAATGAATTATGTCACCAGTCAAATCCATATAGTACAAATGTCACTAGTCATAAACATATTAGTATTGATACATCATTTAATCCCATCAGGAAAGACTATTTGCCAATCTTAAAATTAATGACAGCATAAATATGGCCTAAACATGTTTTAAAGGTTTGTAGAATTGTTTAAATCAACACCTTAAATGGAAGAAAAAAATTGTTAAGGTTATAGCCTGGTTTTAGCCTGTTTTATTTTTGCAATCCTCCAGCAAGCAATGAAGGAATAAACATAGTGAGCAAACCCTATTTCTAGCCTTTTTGGATAAAATGACAGGTAACAAAAAACAAACACACCTGTGCGCAGAATATTTAGCTACACTCTGCGACTGAGCAGAGATACACCATACTAATGACTGCAGATACTTCCTGCAAAACGAGGTATGCCTATGTGTCTGGGCATGTTCAACACTTGATGTGCACAAAGTATGTCTTGCAGGAGGAGGTTGCTACATGTACATCCCGAGGCTCTTTGGATTATCATAAATATTTTCAGAAAATGATAAATTATATTTCACATATGATACTTTTATTGAGATGGCAACTTTCATTTAGTAAAACACTGATCTTCTTTTAATAATGTCATATATCAGGGGTTGAATTGATTGTTCGTCTGAAAAGGCCAGCATATCAGACTTGCTCCTGATAACAAGATATTGGCATTTCTCCATTGAATTTTATGATAAAATATATTTACATACAAAGCAAAACCTGTTTTATTTATTTTGCTAATCTCCTTAATCATGTCACACTGTTAAACCGAGCGATACAATTTAATCAATGCAAAATATCCAAAGCACACTTTTTAGTCAGAGTAGGTTTGCAAAGGTTTTAAGAATTTAGGTTTGATGCAATTGGTTTATCATGTTAACATGAGGTGTATAAAGGCAGTAGCATATGTAACTATGACAGGTTTTAATTTTTTTGTACCATTTCATAGCTAAGAAGACATTTTTTTGAGAATGGATGCAACTGAGTGCATATTATTATTTCTTTGAGAAGCAGTCTTGTTAGAGATAAAATAGCATTTGGGAACTTTCTTTTTTCCTTTAAAATGAAATATCAGACTCACAATGTTAGGTTATATGAATTATCCATTTTTACATAAACATTAATAGAATTTCACGTTTCTTTCAAGAATTCTTCAGCAATTCTGATGTGTTAGGTCATTTTTTTTCTTTAGGTTGGTTGGATGATCAAATCTTTGTAGTAGAATATGATTGTAATTACCAGTGTGACTTGACTACTTTGAGTGGCCAGGAGTGTACACCTGGTTAACTGGCTTTGAAAGAGGTAGTAATGACCCTTTCTTGAAAAGGTCATCTCTTGGTCCAGCAATTCTGGACAGCTTTTAATCCACCCCTTTTAGGTAAGGTGGTAGTAAGAATCACACCTGAATGAAGTCAGTTATAATAGAGGAAGAGTGTTAAGCCTATAATAGTTCCAGTGCTGATTACCACAATGCTAGTCTTTCCCCCAAATTATTTAACGTCTATATAAAACACTGGGCAAGATTATCAATTGGTTTGAGGTTAAGTATCATTGGTATGCTAATGATGTTGAACTATATCTTTGACCAAGTCAAAGATGCTGTAAAGGTATTAAATAGGTGTTAGGAATGTATGAAGAAAGAGTTCTGATTAAAGCCTAGTAGAGCTATTGTTCATCCATAAAAATCTTCCACCTTCCTGAAACCTTAGTTTCAGCTGTGCCTGAGTCCAACTGGACTAGAATGGTCTTTTCCCATCAGCTAATATGCCAATTGTAACCTTACTTGGACTCAGGCAAAATAATGATTCATGACTTTATTACAATGGACTAATGGAATATATTCTACTTTAAGGGTAATGTAGGTACTGCTGATACAGAGGGCAGGAACCCAGGCTGTTGTGAATAGATCCCAACATTGCAAAATAAAAGTTGTTTTATAGTTGATACCCTGATTTGTAAGAGTCATTTGGGCCCAATTCAAAATGCTGACTATTTACCTATGAAACCCTACAGAAGTGCTGGGTTACTTTAGCAACTACATTGTCCAAAATTATTTTGCCCATCCTGGCTGACAGTAGCCTGTTTAAGATCCTGCCACCCAGGTGAGGTCTGGAGATAGGCTTAAGTAGTGGCTCTAATTCTGTTGAATATTCTCAGCATTTCTGAGACTTCTTAAAATCTTCCACTTTAAATAGGCCTTTGAGGATGTTGATAAATGGAAGAAGGGTGGTCATCTTATTTTTTATTAATTTGTGCTTACATGAAATTCTTGTACTTAAAACAACAAAAGCAAATTATAGTAACACGTCTGTGGTTTTTAACACATTTCCCTATAACAGGAGATCTTGGATGATGGGGTCACGTGTCTCAGGGTCACTTTATCCCAGATAAAAATGTTATATGGAAAATGATATATTTGAAAATCCCATTCACCAATTTTCACAGTGCTACAAACATAGAAATCTGTTACTCAAGTATAAAATATGCTGAAATGAGACTGTTTACATATTAGTATTGTTATTAGAAGAGATGAGATAATAAAGATCCCGGATTGTTTTGTTCACCTTCTGTGCTACTTATTTCATTTGTACAATCTCTACATTTATTCCTACTGAAAGAACTTTCCAGTGTCTCTAGCCTCCTTGTTCTAATCTAATCAATCCAAGTATTACCAGTGTTTCTACATCTCTCTCAACTTTGAAAGTTTAGCAAAATGTGATCATCCTTTGAATGTGTTTGTCAGTTCACATGTTGATTCCAAGGAAGTGAAACTATAAGATAAATAGTTCATTGTCAACCTCTATAGAGATGCTGTGGAACAAATGACAACTATAGTTAGCAATGCAATCTGATACAATTACAAGTCAGCTTTGTCTGAAAACTGACAGTAATAAAATCTATGTTTTCTTGGGCAGCTGATGCAGTTTGCATTCTTACAGATAATGAGGTAAGTGGCAGTATTTGCAATATGCATTTTTAAAAACCAGTTTGTTTGTTCTGAGTCAAAACTATGAGAACAAATATTTCAATAGATTAAATATTATTATGTCAAGAAATAAAATGTTGGAAACAATATAACCTAAGAATTGTTGCAAGTGCATAACAAGATACAGTAAAAGATACATTTGAATCAAAACACATTACTTGTATATCTAAAAATGTCCAGTTGTTTCGACTGAGTCCATATTTCTGTCTTTGCATGTCTAGATCTGTAGAGAATGGAGTAAAATAAAAAATATGTCTCCATAAAATTTGGAACAATATGCATTAAAGTTGCTGCAACATTCCTGCTATCAAAATGATGTCCTGTATAAATTTGGGATATGATGGAATAAACTATGAGTAGTGTTGAATCATCTGATATGGTCATATTTATCTAGCTCACTGAGTCATGCTTCAAAATGTTTTCACTTGTCTACTTCATATATCAAAAATGTGCAGGTTTGTCTATGGAATACAGACTCTGGGAACATGCAATAGCAATAGCAGTAGACTTATAGCAATAGCAGTAGACTTATATATCGCTTCATAGGCCTTTCAGGCCTCTCTAAGCGGTTTACAGAGAGTCAGCATATTGCCCCCAACAATCTGGGTCCTCATTTTACCCACCTCGGAAGGATGGAAGGCTGAGTCAACCCTGAGCCGGTGAGATTTGAACCGCTGACCTGCTGATCTAGCAGTAGCCTGCAGTGCTGCATTTAACCACTGCGCCACCTTGGCTCTTAACATGCAGATATAAAATAGCAAAAATTTGAATATTCATCACCTATGACTTATTGGGGATGTGTCTTAAGTTATTTTATTTGCTTGGCACAAAGGTCATTTTACATCACTGAAATGGGTCAGTAGCATTTGTCTGACAGCTACAGTATGTTTGCATAGTTGATTCGTTCTTACATCTCTACATGCACAGATTCCCTTAATGGAATGTAATCTCTCCCATAATATACCAGTTTTGTAGAATGCTGGTCATTTGGCCCTTATAGTGTTCTTTCATTCTTCACTCAGAACATATATATCAGGCTCTGAAAGAGGAGAGAAATATATTTATCAGTGTCTTAAATAATAATTTAAGTGCATAAATACTACATTTGTACTAAATTTATAAATACTCAAGTGGTTCAAGGGCAATGTGTTAGAGGAATTTGAGTTAGTTTGTATGGCTGGATAAAATCAGCATCCAATGCTGTTTCTTGTAAGAACAGATTGCTTGTGTGAGTCTCACCAGTTTTCAAAATATTTTTTTTATTTTTTTAGGAACACTTGATGATGATGGTATGCCCCATGGGTTTTGTACAGTCACATATTCTTCCACAGACAGATTTGAAGGGAACTTTGTGCATGGAGAAAAGAATGGTCATGGAAAATTCTTCTTCTTTGATGGAAGGTAGATGTCACAATGTCTATGAGTTCTTTCACTGAACATGTTACAAACTCCATTGATTTTATACTTTTCTTTATTTGTTTGTTTGTTTGAAGATTTTTTTTAAATGGTAGGAAAATACTTTATAATGGTGGGATGATAAAGTAAAGTAACAAATTACTTGTGCTGTAGAACCTATGATTGACTCTGCATTCGTTGACTTCTTTTCTATATTATATGGAACAAAAATAAATATTCTTAGCAAAACTAAGTAAGTTATAAATAGTAGACATGTTCTTGGTTTTCTCTAAGTTCTTTAGTTCATGTTCTTTTCTGTGAAGTCATTTCAGTGCCTCATTTCACTCATTTCACTCATTTCAGTGTGTATATGATTTGAAGCCTCAAATGTTGTCTCTTTAAGCTCATTGACCCAAAGTGCTGAAAATAAAACTAGGACTCTGTCACTTTCCCCTTTGCCACAACTTTACAATAATTTCCTGATTCCTTTAAATGAAAAAGAACAATAATATATCATAAGGTTAGAATGCATAGGAAATATTACAAAGTATCAGTCTTCACTATATAAAGTTTATCAGAAAAACAAGGCAGATTATTAAAAACCTCCTTTAAATAAACTAAAGCTGTGATTTACATAATAAAATAATAGAAATAAATTGATCATAATAAAATCTTGGAAATGAACAGTCTGTCGGATAGGACAGGTCTTCAAATTATATTGAGAGAAAGCCAAAGAAGAAAGAAGAAACTCTAAAGGAGTAATATTGCAGAACGATGGTGCAAGCATTAAGTAGTTCGTCTTTCTTGAGATCATTCTCTTTGTTACCCATCTCAAGTACAAATAGCAAATAGGTCTTTAAAGGACATATTAAGAACATCTATTTAAAATAATGATTTATCTTTATGTAAACAAATTAGGAAGAGTCTTAATTTTTTTCTCTGTAAATGAGATAAAACAACAGTCGTTTCTACACTATTCTTTTTTCTTTGCTAGCACTCTAGAAGGCTTTTATGTTGATGATGGTTTACATGGCCAGGGAAAATACACCTATGAGGATGGAGGCACACTTCATGGCACTTACATTGATGGTGAACTGAATGGGCCAGCTCAGGAATATGATGCTGATGGACGATTGGTCTTCAAAGGACAATACAAAGATAATATCCGGCATGGATTTTGTTGGATTTACTATTCAGTAAGTTGGCTTTTTTTCTCATGTATTTCATCATGTAACACTAACAGTTATACAAAGAATCTGCAGGGATCAAGGGAGAGCTTCACATCAATACAATGCAGGCTTCATCTCTTTTGTGATGTGATGTAAAAAGCAATACAAAAGTGGCAGAAATTGTTACCCAGCAATACAGTACTGTTTTCATTATTTTGTTCACTTCTTTGCAACTAAATGGAGATTGGTTGTTACAGTTTTGGATGCAAATTAGTATCTTATTTTATTACAGTTGTGTATTGCCAAATCTGGAGACACTAATGGAAGTTTACAACAAGGATAATATGAAAAATATAAATTATACAAGTATACATGTATACAACAAGTATATAACTAAAACAAAAAAGTAAAAGAATAAGAAAAATAAATGAACAAAGTTGAATATAGTTGTTCATAGCAATACCAAATGCAAATGCAGAAAAGTTCCACCTTAGCAGCTTTATAGTGTGATTCCAGAGTTATATTGCAAGTAACACAGCATAAACTTTCTGTCATGTATAAATTTTCTGCATGTGAACAAATGCATGAACTATCATGTCTCTTGGATAAAGGTATACATTCCTGTATACATTCCTCCATCAGTAACAAAATATTCTCAATTATGTAACTTGAAGAACAAAGCATGCTATTGGATCCCTATACATTTTTCCTGTCTTCCCCCAAAACAGGTTTGAAGACAGTGTTAAGATATGGAAGAAGACTGAATAATAGCCCTTTGCACTCAGTTCTGAATTGTCCCTAGAAAAGGAAGACAAGAAAATATCTTGCTTTGCAGCCATAACTAGCAAAAAAACCACCCCATATTATAAAGCATTTTATGTGCAATATTCTTCACTATGACACCCTTTATGGCTACTGGGACTATAATTCCTAGATTTACTTGTCAATACAGAAGTAGCAGTTGCATGATATCTGAAGATTGTCAAGTTGGAAAAAGCTGAATGAAAGTTTGGCAAAATTAATGAACTCAAATGCAGCATAATCCTTTCTCCAAGTTATGCTTAGCTGAGAAGCACAGGATGAAGCACATAACATTTCTGCTTATGGAAAGAACTTTCTGTCATCTGAAAGTTGACAGAAGTGTTTTTTAAATGTTTTATTTAAACATTTTAAAATTATGAGATATCAAAACTTTCTTTTGGTAACCTAATAAACCGACCAGCAGAATTGTTCTGTTGGTTAAGATATATACTAAGTGGAAAATAGAGAAACATAGAGAAAAATGTAAGGGAGAAGAACTGAACTACATTGCATTCAAATGAGAAAAAAAGCCAATAAAAGCTAGTCCTGGAGTTACACCTGTTCTAATTGACAGCATATGAAATCCAATGAGAGCAAAAATGTAGTTCTTTGTATCCTAACCCATCCTTTCGGGCATAATTCCCTTAAGTTTGGATGCAGCATATTTTCCAAACTTAGTGGTGGCTTAGCTCTTAGAATCTGTTAAGGTTTGGAAGCAGAACAGAGTAAAACTAGTTATTTTTATATTTTATGCATGTAATTTATTTTGTAAATGGAATTCTTTCAAATAATTTTCAACTAGAGCTAGACAGTTTGAGAATCCTTTGTGAGACGGTTTTCTTTTTCCTTAGGTTCTACTTTTTAAATTTTAAATGTATATGCTTTTAAATGTATATGCTGCCTTCATCTTTACAGACCCAGCATTTTACATTACCGTAATAGGACTGAAATGGTGAGTGCAGAGGTACAAAAGCCAGAATAAATGAAAGAACAGAAAATGAAAGAATAAAGTTCTAACTGGCACTTTTATTATCCAGATGAGAGTTTTTCACACTTTGTTCCCTGGAACTCTAAGGTTCTGTGAGAGATTAAGGACACTTTTAAAAAAAACCATTCAAACAAAGCCAGTTGCCTAACCCCAGAGTTTTGCCTTTTGATCAGGGTACTGGAGATTTAATTTAGGAAATTTAATTTTAGCTTTGGGTTGAAAAAGCTTGAGAACCACTCATCTCAATATTGAGACTAAGTTTTTGATTAATAGTAATCTTCATTACATTTAAAAACAGCATGCAATATTTCCCCTTAATTTTTGGAAACAGTTTTATTGCTTCTTTTTCAGGATGGTGGGTATCTGGTTGGAGAAGTTAATGAAGAAGGAGAGATGACTGGAGAAAAGCTAGCCTATGTATACCCTGATGGGAAGATGGCATATTATGGGCACTTCATAGATGGTGAAATGATAGAAGCAAGATTGGCAAATGTTATACTGGCAGAGGAAGAAAAACTACAATTTGATGTTATACCAGGCAGTAAGTTGTCACTCATGTATTATATCTCATAATATGTGAATGTCTAGGTTCTCTTAAAGATTTGACCACTTTATTAAAGTATTGTACTTACATACATTGCCTTTAGGGCCAAATTCTTCCAATATCTAATTCTATGTCTTTTACTAAGTAATTTAGTGGTGTGAACTTATATCTGACATTAAAAATTAGGTTGGCTTTTTATATTTTGAATGTAGATCCCCATTTACAACAGCTGAATATATAAAGGAAAGAAGGGACTCTCAGAATCATATATAATTACTGTTCCTAAGTGTTTCTTTTTTAGTCAAGCTGAGGAATTTAATTTTACATGGACAGCAGACAAAATAAATATAAATATTGTAATCTATACTGTCATTTCAGATCAAGAAATACAGCAGTATTTGTCAATACTTTCTGACTTCCGGTTACTCTTCTAAACATTCTCTATTTTCTGGGGTCTCCCAAGGACAGTATCAGCTTCCTGTCTAATAGACTCATTTCTTGAGTCCTTTCTGAGAATACTGCTTTTGAATTACAGATTATAAACTCGTTTGCTCCAGTTGTGTGTATCTAGGGCATAGTAGCTGGAAGGAAGAGAAAATGATGAAAAAAAGAGAAAAATCTTGTGCTTTTCGGGGCAGGTGAATATTGCTACTATCATGGGGTTATTTTGTCAGTTTATGCCTTATCTAAAGCTATTTGGTGTTCTTTCAAGGAGCATTTATATAAAGCTAAAATAGTGAGATGGTAGCATATACATTTAATAAATAAAAACATGAAGAAATGTATTTTTTTAAAAAAAAGAAAGGTGTGTTATGGTGGCCCCTGTTAATTTTTTTGAAACAAAATTTAAATTATAATGTATACTTTGAAAGCAGGATATATTGCAACTCTATAAATTGATGGTATTCAGGAACAAATCCATTTTTAGAACTTGGTTACCAAGGAAAATATTTCCTAATAGATTTTAGACACCTAATGTTTTTAGCCATTTGATGTGCAGTTTTTAAGAGGTATGCAAAATTACTGGTTAAGATTAAGGAACACTAAAAAAGTGATCTATTTGTATACCTAATGTATGCAAATAGACCTAATTCAGAAATGATTTAGTTAGTCAAGAAGCATTATTTTTGGGTGAAACTAAACTCCTATAGAATTACGTACAGTTGGAAAGAACATTGAAAATATATATGCAAAATTCTATATTAATTTATCCTAAAATAGTGGTATTTTTTAAAAAAAATTGTGTAACATACATAGTACATTTTTATCCTATATAATGTTTTCTGTATTGATTTTTTATAGGCCCAGTTTACTGTTTTGATAAATCTACTTCGTCCTGCATTTCTACAAGTCCACTTCTTCCTGACCCTTATGAATCAGAGAGGTAGAATGTTTTATTATAGCTTTGTCTTTCCTTCAAATATTTGCAAATAATATTTCACTGGATTACACACATGAGTATACTATCCATTTACTTCCTTTCCATTCCCAAATATTAATCTTTTATGAGAATATAGAGATTTTCACATTTGACATCAATCGTGATTTTTTTTCAAACTGTGCATTGAGCCACACTAGGGTATCGCAGTGAATTCACAATGGTGCCATGGAATCATAAACTCCTAGATTGAAGTAGTTCACAGTTTTGCATAGGAGTACCTATGCATGAAAAAATTTCCAAGATACTCAGGATGTTGTAAACTGAGAAACTGATCCGGCCCGCCAAGTGCTTAGATCTGGCACGCAGTACCACTCTGGGAACAGCGAAGGACCATCCCGTTGTGCCTCTGCCAATGAAAACAGAGCTCAGGAGGACCACGCACAGACCTTGCAAAGTCCATTTTTCCTGGCAGAGTGTTGCAGGAGGCTGTTACAGCTGAAAACTGAGCTCAGAAGCCAGTTTTTTCTGGCAGAACACTCAGGCGACCATAAGAGCCCCCGACATGAGTGATGGAGCTGGCCATGCCCATCCTGGCCATGTCAACCTGGATCCCTGAGGTCAAACACACCCCTGATGCGGCCCTAAATAAAATTGAGTTTGACACTCCTGCATTTTTAATTATCCACAGATATCCAGAACTAAGGATAATATGGAATGTGTAATTTTATTTTTTTTAAAAACATGTAAGTGATATGAACTACTAGCTTATTTCCTTAAAAGTTCTTTAAACTATTTGTTTCTTTTGATATATTCCAAAAATAACACTTAGCAATATGAGCTTCACTTCTAGATTCTCATGTGGGCTCAAATAAGATCTGTCCTAGTAACCTTACTGCACATGCATGAAGTTGTAGATCAGATACTATTTTTATTCATTGCTTTAATTTAGGATCTTTGTAGATGCATCTCTTATTTCCAATGCTGGAGAAGGTTTATTTACTAAAATATCTGCTGAAGCTGGCACAGTTTTATCTTTTTACAATGGTATACGAATTACACATCAAGAGGTAAAGTACAAAGAAACATTTTCATTGCTTCTATAACAACTTCCACGTTGCTTATAAGTATTTCAATAGTATTTTCATGGTAACAACATTTCATTAAATAGAAAGATGGGATGTATGTTTATGCCATTTGTACTAATAACTTTTGTGCTAATTCACACCTGTTATTTCAGATGTATAAAGCAGCAGCCCCCAACCTTTTGGGCACGAGGGACCGGTTGCGTGGAGAGACATTTTTCTGCGAACCGGAAGGGGTGTGGTTTCGCATGCTGCCTGAATGGGGCTTTGCTTGTTTGCGCGGCCCAGTTTCTGACATGATCGGGAGTCCTCAACCGGGGGTTGAGGACCCCTGGTATAAAGATATCCTAGTAGCAATATAGGTGGTCCTTGATTTATGACCACAATTGACCCCAAAATTTATGTTGCTAAGTAATAAATTTGTAAAGTGAGTTTTGTCCCATTTTACAACTTTTCATGTATTTCTTAACTGAATCAACACAGTTGTTAAATTAGTAACATAGTTAAGTGAATCTGATTTCCCCATTGACTTAGCTTGTCAGAAGGTTGCAAAAGATGATCACATTAGCCACAACACTGCAACTGTCATAAATGTGAGTCAGTTGTCAAGCAGTCGAATGTAAAATATGTGACCGTGGGGATGATGCAATACTCATAAGCCTGAAAAATGGTCATAGGTCACTTTTTTCAGTGCCTTTTTAACTTTGAACCGGCACTAAATGAACTGTTGTAAGTCGAGAACTACCTGTACAGCATTTATTCTTGGCAATAATAAATGCCATCTCCTCCTTTTTTTCATGATATGATTTTGTTAAATACTAAGAATAAATTTGAATGTTCTCTAGTGACAAAAAAATTACACTAGCCTACTTTTTGAGAGAGAAAGAGAGAGAAAGATTGAGTCAACACTGAGTTGAGGACACACACACACACATGCACACACAAAAAGTCTGCTTTTGTGTAAAATTAATGAAAAGGAGAAATGTGAAAAATAAGTCTGCAGGTACAAAAATTTTCATGAATAGTTATATTGGAGTGAAATACCCTCCCCCCCTCTAAACTCTGACCTTATGTGGCAGATTTGCCAAACAGTTTATATATCTGTGTCAGCGTTTCAAATATCATGCAGAATTAAATCAGAGACCAAGGCAAAACTATTTAATAAGACAGACATGTTGGCATCATGCTATGGAATCCCAATACTGAAAATGACATCAGAATTCCACCCAGTTAAAAGTTCATGATCTTGTCCCCACACCCACAATCCATCACATGGTCCAATCATCTTCTTCCATGCTGGCATCCACAACCAGCTGCTTCCGGTCATTGTACTGGTGCGAAGACAAAGGATGACCTTGGCTTCTAGTAAAGAATGAAAACAATACATTCCACAATCTCATTCCTGTCTATTCCCCCCCTCCCATCAACTATACTAAATAAACAGCATAATGAAATAAGAGAAAGCGTGGCAGGCCAAAATTCTAAAAGGAATATAATTGCAGGCCTGACAATATGGTTCTTTCAAGCTCAAAAAAATGCATGTGAGTTTTGACTTGATAAAAATAAATATTTGTCATAGCAGTATTGCTTTCAATTCCAGGTGGACAGCAGGGACTGGTCTTTGAACGGGAATACGATATCCCTTGATGATGAAACTGTCATAGATGTGCCAGAACCTTACAGCCATGTAACCAAATACTGTGCCTCTTTGGGGCACAAGGCAAACCACTCATTCACCCCAAATTCTGTTTATGACTCGTAAGTATTTAATTTCTGCTCATGTCTTGAAGTGTCACGATTCTACACAATGATGCACTGATTTTGTGATTGTGTGTGTTTGTAAAGACAAACACTAAATCATATACATGACAAATTGCCTTAATTAAAAATGGAACTAAGGAAAACATTTCTGGAAAAAAGTGCCAGCTTGATAGAACAGACACCTTTAAATGAAACACAAGCATTAATTTTGGCCCACTATGTGTAACTTCATTAGTTTTACATATTCTGTATAAAACTATATAAAACATTATGGGTAGCCTAATATTGCAGATGTGTTGTTATATAGCATGACACACCAAGAAATTTATGGTAGACTCAAAGTAAGTGAGTTACTTATACCTATGGGAATTTGCTACTTTTGCAGCATCTGAATCAAAGTTTCCATTGGAATGTGGTAGACTTTTAAAACTGTTGTAGTTAGCCATAGTAACCTTCTTTTAAATAAAACCAAAAAATCAGTGCTAAAGTAAGTCCTTATTTTTATTGAATTTATTTATGTATTTATTTGTATCTCACCTTTATTATTTTTACAAATAACTCAAAATGGCGAACATATCCAACACGCCTTTCTCCTGTTTTTTCCACAATAAGGTTTAGTATTATTTTTGTGGGTAAGAATAAAAAGTAAATGTAATATTGTAGTGATTATTCTTTAAAAAAAACTTTTATTGTTAAAAAAGAAAATGTTGGACATGGTGAGACTGTCTTGGTGATCACTCCGCCATATAAAGTATAACACATGTCTCTTGTGTATTCAATACACATTACTACTTACTGATTATATATACATACTTAACCTCTTCTACACAATTGCAATTACAGTTACAGTTACAAAATATACTACCTATATTGCCTCTTGTTTCAATCTATACATCCTTGTGCTTATTCGTTCCGACTTCCCTTCCTTAAATCCATCCACTAATAAAATCTATCCCAAATTTCATAGTACTCTGTCTCTCCTTTATTTTTCAGTTCTAACTTCAGTCTATCACATTCTGCACAATCAAATATTTTCTTTGTTATTTCCCTTTCTTTAGGTATGTTTCCACTCTTCCATTGCTGGGCATAAACTATTCTCTCAGCTGTTATGATATGTAGTGTTAAATATGTTAACCCTTTGATTACATCCTCTTTGATAATTCCTAATAGGAAAATTTCTGGTTTGAGTTCCAATCTCTGTCCAGTCATTTCTTCCAACCACCTTCATATCCTTTGCCAATATGCTTTGGCTTTCCTATATGACCACCACATGTGGTAGTAGGTGCCCAGTGTTTGATCACATTTCCAGCATTTAGGTGATACATTTTTATACATTTTGGCTAGCCTGGCTGGAGGTAGGTGCCACCTATAGAACATTTTATATAGGTTCTCTTTGTACAATGTGGTCAAAATTAGTAGTAATTATTGTTAATAGCTCACAGTTTTCATATTGTTTTCCTGAATCCATATGCCTGTTTATTTTGTAGATTTGTTCACCCTCGCTTTGGACTGATTAAATGTATTCGAACCATTCAAGCAGTGGAGAAGGATGAAGAACTAACAGTTGCTTATGGCTACGATCACAGTTCCTCTGGACAAAATGGGCCAGAAGCACCAGAGTGGTATCTGGCAGAACTAAGAGCCTTCCAAGCTTCCCTGAAAAAATGAACATGCAAGCAGTTTTCCTATTCAATACATTGAATCTATGCACTATCTTTGATGATGGAAATGGAACAGCCAGTGGTTGACCATGTTGTGATTCTTCAATACTTTCCCCTACATTAGAAAGAGTGGGAGCCTTTTTTGTTCTTGTTTCTTGCAGACTAATGTGTTTCAGCCACTCCCTTAGAATAATCTTTACATTTTGGCTAATAGTGCAAAATGAATTATTTAATATGCTACATAAGGAAGTGTGGCCTTTTTTTTGACAACTAGTTTGCTTCAGCAGCTGTCAAAATATAGAAAGAGAGCATTTTCAAAACCAAGGTTTTATCTGTACTGTGGTTTCTCTCATTCTGAGCAACTACATTTTGTATTTGCCATATTGTGATGATGATTATAGAATTGTGCTAAATTTAGTATTCTAAAAAAGCAGTATAATTTCAGAAGACTGCTTTAGGGCATTTTCTGTTTTGGTGCACAAGAGACTTCTCTTTACATTATCTTCTTAAAGTCAGCACAAAAAATTAAACTTACAGTGTCAAGGTCAGTAAAATGAGGACCCAGATTGTTGGGGGCAATATGCTGACTGTATAAACCACCTAGAGAGGGCTGTAAAGCATTGTGAAGTGGCATTCTGAAGTGCTATTGCTACATGTCGGGTTTTTTAGGCTCTTGAGGATAAGTGCCTGGAAGACCAGAGCTGCTATAACTTTAATCGTGATAATTACATTTGAGTGACTTCTACTTGTGCATATGAGCATTTTCTGCTGCTTGTTTTTGGTTTCTTACACTGGAGAGCATAATGTCAGTTATATAGAACAGTGTTTCTCAACTTTGATGACTTTAAGTCCACAGGACTTAAAGTCACCAAGGTTGAGAAACACTGATATAGAACAAATGAATCAAGGACATACCAAGAAATTTATTGTTTGCTACATTTTTCTTTTTCTTTCCTTTAATTGGTAACTTACAAAATCCTGGAAGCTACCAATACTTATCAAAGGCTTCTGTAGAGCTAGGAAAGAAGTAAAAAAATCCTACATTGCAAACCTTTAAAAAACAAACAAACTGCAGAGTAATTCAGAGAGTTACATGGAAAACTCAACATTTTTACTATGAAGCAAATTATACTTGAGACTCTCAAACAGTTTTACGGGAATTATGAAAGCACATTTTACTAATCCTAGCTAACATTTAATTAAAAAAAGGAAACTTTCAGGGCCCTGTAGCCAGTTCCTGGCATTTCTTAAACAGATTTTCAAATATGTGCAATATATGTTTACAGAGTATTTGCTCTGTATTATAAGTTGAAATGTCTATTTGCAATGTGCCTATTTATTTAAAAATAAATAACCACTGAACTCAGTGGGACTTTCTTCAAATGTAGAAGATTGCATTGCTAGTTTCTTATGCAGAAAAAGGATTCTGAATATGATCTTTATCAACAGGCTGATGAGTCTGTTGCTGAAACTCTGATTAGTTTATTTCACTATTTTAAATATGTAATACTGTAGTCCTGGATTACAGTCTTTATACCATGCATATTTTAATTTTAATTGTAGGCAACAAAGCTAGAACCTTACATGTTGCAGCCTCATAAGGATTTAAAACTAGAATACTGCATAGAGTAGAAGGCATATAGAAACAGGTCATTTAAAATGTCAAGAAAAAGTATTTTAAACATTTTATTTACCAAGGAAAAATCTGCAATGCCTGTATTTAAGCAGAGAGAAAAACATGGGCCATAAGATCTGGGATGGCGATAGAAATAGATTTGTTATTAGATTTAGGCAGCATTTCTTCCTTTGTCCTACATACCATTATATGGATGAGGTGGCATCACCCCAAAGAAACCCATTATACACTCTGGGGGTCTTTTTGGACCCTTGACTCCTGCCTGTGGCAGCTGTGACTAGGAGGCCTTTGTACACTTTGGGTGCTGACAGTCACTAATGCCCTTGGGCCCTCCTATCTGGATTATTGCAAGGTACTCTACATGGGACTTTCCTTGAGAAAGCTTCAACTGGTGGAGAATCCAGGTTCACAAGTAGTAAACACTATTGGAAATTTGACACATATAACACCATTGCTTTGTGAATTGTGCTAGTTGCCAGTATGTTTCCAGATGCAATTCAAGACAGCTAAATTTAGAGTTTATTATTAAGAATTCAGTCCTTTATATGATTATTTAAGGGAAGCTTTACTAACAATTCTTTTTACAAAACTGCATTTGATTTCTATGTCAAGAGAATAATTGACATTTTAAATGGACATTGATAACATGACCCTGAGATCCATAGAGTCCAGTCTGCTGCTAATTCTTCTTTATTTTCTATAGCATTGTTTCATATCCTAAAAGCAATCTTACAGTACTGATGAAGCCAAGCAAGTAACCCAGAAAGTGCATGGCCAACATTTGCCACCAGTACACTATTTAAAATCAGCACAAGATAGCTGTTATTGTGGATTGTTGACAAATATAGTTACAGTCCATGAATTGAGAAATATTTGGAAGCTTATTCATTGGAACTAATATGATCACTATCTTCATGAATGATATAACATGTAGACATCCATTTGTCATGCTTATACTGTGTGCCTGCAAGAGGGTGCAGAATCATGCCCAATCCTGACAAGCAATCACAATTACTGTATGCTATGAACTTCTCAAACTACAAAAGATGATAGTGAAATGGATTTGTCATTTTTAAAACACTTCTTGGTTAACACTTTTGGAATACATTAAAATTGTTTCATCTTTTTAATGTAGATATTTGCCATTGTAATTATATTCTAATTTAGATTTCAACATGTTCATTACATTCTTATTCACACTCCTTGTGTCAGAATTTGTTGCATAAATTCAAATCTAGAAGCACACACAGATAACTGATTCAGCTGGATTCATTTAACTTCTTTATATACATAAGAATAGATGCATAAATGTACAATACCAACAGGTGGTTCTTCCAAGTAAAGCAAGGCACGTGAGTTACAGGCAAATACAAGCAATTAGTTTCATATCAGCAGAAGAATCCCAACAGACTGCTAGTTTACTTCTCAGAGCAGCAGACTGCTTTCTTAAGTTTCTGTTCCAATTCTCTGCACAGGCTCAGATCTGTTTAAACTCCCATTGGCTGATTTAGTTGTTATGCTTATTCATTGGCTGACCTTGTTCCCATGTCTCTCCCAGTCATGAATATTTTAACACCTTGCAGTGATTTATAGTGTTCAAAATTATTTAGTGTATAATCCTCTATCTACAGCTCCCACTGAATTCAACAGAAGTTATTTGCAGTTGAATTTTCCCAAACCTGTAGCCATTTCCATTTGTTCGTCATTTAGTTTTAATGGGCATGCTGTGCCATTTTAAAAAAATAATTTCAAACTATATAATTATATCCAGAACACTTGCATAGTCAATATTGAAATATTTAGCTGGTTAGAAACAAACTGTTCCTTTACATAATTGTCACAGGGAAATGCAGTTCAGAGGGACTCCATATTTTAACTGAATATTTCATAAAATGGGCATATGATGTTTCAATTAAAAATCTGACTGATAAAGGAGAATATTTGTAGCTTGGGTTTGAAATGGGTCCTTGGTCCTCTCTGAACTTGGTTGTTTTCTTGCAGAAATTTAATTACCTAAACTAGGTAATCAGTGCTCATCAACTCATCAATGACAATGATGGGTAATGAAATTGAATTGAATTGAATTTATTATATTTCTATGCCGCCCTTTTCCTCGAAGGGGAAATGTCTGCAAGAAAACAACCAAGCTCAGGGAGCACCAAGGACCCCTCAAAAATCTGACTAGATTTTTTTTTTAATTTGCATTCTTGCTACTGATTTTTAAAACTTTCTGTGAAACTTCCATATTGTAACTTACGTAAGTTCCTTGCAGAAATCTACTTCCTTGAGTTAGAAAAAAATCCCCTTAGCCTAGTGGAATGACTCCTATGCCTCTCACATGAGACTTATTTTGTGTTGGATTAGGTCTGTGTATTTACAAAACATTCAATAATATATTAAATATTACTCAGTGACCTAAAGCAACTACTTTACTAAGTTGATGAGCCTTATCGACATCCATAGATATTACTTATGATTTCTAAAACTCTGGGTGAAGGAAAAAATAATTATACTTTATTTATAGACTTTGTTTACACTGAACACATTGTGAAAGAAATAGAAAAATGTCTCTGAGGGAAAAATTGCTTTATCCTGCATTGTGAAAATAAAGCATTACATGAATTGTCTTGACACAATTTTTATCCCATTTCTTACATTGTCCATGATAGTAAATGTTAAATTGATAACTTGGTTTACATCTGACCAAACTTGAACATTGATGGAAAGCAAAAAAAGGGCAGATTTTTTATGCTGTTTCAATCTCCATTTCAATATGTATCTTATTGTATTATTTTGTATTAACTTTATAGTTTTTTGCCCTTTATTTTAAAATTTAGTTATGTGTTATTAAACATCATTGATTATGACCGAAATAATTCTTTAAGACATATATAGAATCTTCAGTTTCTGGACCAACTCAAAAAGAATTATTAATTTAGTGCAGTTGCAATATAAGATGATTATCTCTATGAAAATATTTATCGACCTACATAGTTGGGGAAATAGGTGGTAAATTAACTACAATGCTGAAAAAGTAGACTCAAATACATTCATGCTATGGTGAATGCATATGGCTATAGTGCAATATAATTCCAAGATCAATTTATTGTGAGCCTTCTTTGTCTAGTCCCTTAAATTTTCCTTTCACTCAATTTCATTGAGGGCCACATACGGATTTTGTTTGACCATGGGGGGGGGGTGGCATGGCTGGGCGGCACAGCCAGCTCAATGTCTCTCATGTCCTGGACACCTGTGGTGGCCTGGCCGAGGCTGGGGGATCCATTGTCCTCAGCGGAAGAAGATGAGACCAGGGAGAGCACCAAATCCTTGCCCTCCAGAGGAGCCTCACCATCCCTCTCAAGCCATGGGGAGAACTCCTGGATGGTGGCGCAGGCTGTCCAGAGCCCTAGGCAGTGGAAGGCAAGCACCCAGCCCAGCCTTCTAGCTCCCAGGATAACAGGACCCCACAGCCGAGCCCAGTTCCACGAGGGGGTGTCCAGCTGCGCTTACCTCGTCTGCTGCTGCTGTGCTCACTCTCCTTGGCCAGGTTGCTCATGGTGTGTGCAGGAGGGCAAAGTGTATAGGTCAGAGGGAGGCCCACTCCCTCTCCACAGGAGGAGACCTAGCTTTGTAACCAAAACATCCTCAGCGATAGGATGGGTGACCATCAGGAGAGGTCAGGAGGAGGATAGGATGGTGAAAGGGAAGCAGGGCTGCTGGTGGCCAAGTGCTAAAGCAGACCCTCCTTCCCTTTCATTATAATCTTCCTTCCTTTTTTCCTTTCCTCTTCATTTTCCTTTCTTCTTCCTTCCCCTTTCCTTCTTTTCCTTCCTTGCTCTTTTCCCTTCTTTTCTTCTTTTCTTCTTTTCCTTTCCCTTTATCCTTTCCTGTGCCTTCTTGGATGCTCAAATGCAAAAGTGGAAACATTTTGTGATCAAATGCCACTTTTGCTAGTAGTTTGTTTAGATAACATGCTGCCAACAAAAACAGAGCTCGGGAGGGCATGTGCGGCCCTCCCAAACTCTGTTTTCAGCTATGATGGCCTCCTGTAGCACTCTGCCAACAAAAATGGTAGCTAGCAGATTGTAGATCAGTGCCTGGTTGGCCTGAGGCACCATGGGCCTGTCCTTCACTATTTCCAGGGCAGCCCCGTGGGCCAGATCTAAACACCCAGCAGGCTGGATCCACACAGTGGGTCTTGAGTTTGACACCCCTGCACTATATGAAGCAAGTGGTAGGGAGGCCAATAACTCTCCCAATCCCCCACATTTTGAAAAGAATATGTTGAATACATTCAGGAGGTAATGGAAAGCAAACTGCAGAAGCAAAGGTGCTACTGCCCCCCCATCCCCCCAAAATTGTGCATACAGCCGCCTCTTGCCTCTGTTTCCAGTTTATATGCTATGGAAAACTAAAGCTATTAAGCCAACAACAGGTTGTGGCTATGGACCGTAATTAAGACTTTATCTTCAACTTCATCATAGTTCTGTACCCATATTTGGACATTTTCAAAGAATAAGCACATTGCATCTTTCATATTGAGGATGGACCTTATTTCCAGAAAGTGGCTTCTGCTGCTACCAGTCTCCAAGTTTATTTTTCAGAATCCAGATATACAGGTAATCCTTGACCTACAACAGTTAGTTTAGTGATTGTTCAAAGTTACAACAGCACTAAAAGAAGTGATTTATGACCATTTTTTACACTTACGACCATTGCAGCAGTCTCATGTTCATGTGTTCAAATTTTCACACCCCTGACAACTGGTTCATATTTATGATGGTTGCAGGGTCCCATGGTCATGTGATCCCCTTTTGCGACTTTCTCACAAGCAAAATCAATGGGGAAGTCTGATTCATTTAACAACTGAGTTACTAACTGAACAACTGCAGTAATTCACTTACCGCAACTAGGGCAAGAAAGATCGTAAAATGGGGGCAAAACTCACTTAACAAATGTTAGCAACAGAAATTTTGGGATCAATTGCGGTTGTAAATTGAGGACTACCTATATATTCTCTACTCTTGATTCAAAGGAGAGTTCACATTGCAAGTTTCTACCTTCATAAATAATAGGACACAGTGGCTCAGTGGCTAAGACGCTGTGCTTGTCAATCAGAAGGTTGGCAGTTCAGCGGTTCGAATCCCTAGCACTGTATAACAGAGTGAGCTCCTGTTATTTGTCCCAGCTTCTGCCAACTTAGCAGTTCAAAAGCATGTAAAAATGCAAGTAGAAAAATAGGGACCACTTTGGTGGGAAGGTAACAGTGCTCTGTGTGTCTTCAGTGTTCAGTCATGCCAGCCACATGACTAGCACTGGATCTTCAGCTTAGAAATGGAGATGAGCACCGCCCCTAGAGCTGGAAATGGCTAGCACATATGTGCCTTCATGATTACTCTTCTCAGGACTTCAGAACTCACATAACAACTTTATAAAGAATTATTTCCCTCCATATTATGGAAGAACATATGCATGTATTCATCTTTACAAAATAGAAGATGACGTGCAAATTACCTCTGCTTTGAATTTCCACACCCTTTTCAGCCCTGCTTGTTATGTTTACATGGAACAGTACATTTCCAAAGGCCAATCTCCTGCACAGATGTTGCCTCAGGCCAAGATTCTACATTTGAACTCTGAGGGGAAACATTGCAGTACAAGCTATTTGCCACAAATGATCAAAAAAGCATTTCTTGCTTCATTTAAAATGTCAAGCTGAAATATGAAGATGTGATGAACACAGTTTTCCTGCATGCTACTTTGCATCAGAGTTGGGGAGCCTTAGGTTATAAAATAAGTTTCAGAGCACAGATTCCATTAACCTTTATCACTATAATAGTTAAGCTGCCTAGGATACTAGGAGTCGTATATCAGCTTAAACAGAGGGCACAAGAATCAGGAAGATTATGTCTCTTCTCCATATGCAAAATGTGAAGATTAGTTCTTTATGGGAAGCCCAGGTAGCTTTTCACTCAGCAATTGTTTTTGTCCAGTTAAATAGCTGTACGCTGGGAGGAATACTTCTTAACAGATTAAACTCCAAACTTCTACAGGAAATGCATTTGTTTATTGTATGCAATGGGTTAAATTCAGAGGTAGAAGGAAAGGCAACAATAAAAAGTACTACCTGCAAAAGGGAAGGGCAGGTAAATGCATTATGTGGGTGGAGCAAGATTTTATTCTGATTGCAGGAAGAAAAGAGTGGGGCTTGGCAGCCAGAGTCAGTCCCTGGATGACCAAGTCATTCCCATTGGACTGTAGCTGTTGGCCCAGGCTGGTGAACTTCTCAAGGTTTTTTTTTTGTGATTAAGGATCTTAAACCTGGCTGAGGTAAGGCAATGCTGAGCATATACACCTTGTTTGTTCCCATGATTGCTTTAGCTGAGTTTCTCTTTTGCTTTGGCAGGAGGTGCAAAGGCTTTGTGTTGTCTGTTTTTCCCCAACTTCCTTTTGCCTTTTCTTTGTTGGCAGAGTGGAAGAAAGGAGAACGTTCAGAGGTGAGTTCAACTCTGAATATTGCCTATGACAAACAAATATGTGCTTGAGAGATGAAAATAATCTTTCTCTGCTTCTCCAGCATTAAGTTCTTTTGCCTTTCTGTCTCATGTACTTTTGCTTGGTCTTCTATATGGAGCTTCTGATTACTGGTTATTTTAACCTTCGCAAATTCTTTCAGAAAATGATCCATGGCCGATAGGAGAATTACCTGGCTACTTTGAGATATTTTACTCTTGTTGACTTTCAGCATTACCAGCACAACCTAAATATTTGAATGTTAGTCCTTGCTTCCATGATATTGGCTTTGTCCAAAGCATTGCTTTATACATAAGGTGACCAGATTTTAACATTGGTAAAGAGGGACACCATTGACCGGGGTGAGGTGGGGTTTCTTGATTAAAAATTTGATCTATATGGTCCATGGATCCTTTCAAAGGGAGGTTTTCCAGCCCCTTCCACAAAGGGGAGCCAGTTACAGAGA